CACACACACACACAGCCTCAGAACGTCCATCAGTAAGATGGGAACAACAACAATAATAATACCACCACCTGGTTCTCAGGAGAGCCGAGGGTAAAACAAAGCACAAAAGTCCTTTGTAATCTGAGGAGCACCTAACACAACCCAGGGCCGCCCACCAGCCCAGGAACAGGTAGACAGACCGGAGGGCTCGCTCGGACGGGCCCAGGAGCAGGCAGACAGACCGGAGGGCTCGCTCGGACAGGCGGGCGCCACAGGCAGCGCTCCCCCTTCTCTCACACCCAGTGGCAGGTGGAGACTCACCTGTAGCGGCTTCCAGCCAAACTCCTTCAACAAGTTCCCACGGGAGGGGAAGACCAGGCGAACCACCCAGCCTCTTGCAGCGGCACTGGTTGCCCTGGGAACTCACCTCCGAGGCTGGGGCTAGCAGAGGTGTTGGCCAAGGTGTGGGGCTCCGGATAGTAGGACTAGGACGGCGGGCAGTGGCCCACCTCCTGGCGGTCACCACAGAGATGCAAGCAAGGAACACCCAGCCCTTCCTGCCCTTGGGCACCCCAGGCCTGGCTTCCCGGGCCATGGTGGGGTGGAACCCAGGCTCCTCAGGAAGGCCTCTGCCAGTCTGCCTGTTTGTCCACCTGCCCCAGTGGAATCGAGCACCCGAGTGCCTAGACCTGGTGTCACTCACATGGCTGTCATACTTGCTCCCATGACGGGCAGGGCCAGGAATTCCCGCTTGTACCAGGCCACGGGCCAGCCAAGGGAGTGTGGATGGGGCTCTATCCTGAGGGGCCAGTGGCTCCAGCTCAGACCTGCTATCTTGGGGTGAGCCTAGCCATCTCCTCCAACACCCCAGGGCCCTGTACTGGTTCCCCCTGCCTGTGGAGGAATCACACCTAGAGTCGGAAAGGTGGCAGGTACAAGTCACCGAGATCAAAACCAGGCTCAGCCAGCGGGGGACCAAGTGTGTGTGAACCAGCCAGGCACTGTGGGGGGAACACCCAAGATCCCGCTTACTCCAGGCCCTGGCCTCATCCTGGAAGCCTCCTCTCCCACTCAGAGCGCCTCCACCCCTGGCACCCAGGTAAGGGATTTCATTTTAAACTGCAGAACCAAAGTAGGGTTGACAACTGTTTAGTTTGCCAAGTAGGGTAGTATAAAAAACAATACTGTCACCACAATTACCATTATTTCAGAAGACGCCAACAGTAACCAAGAGGGCATGCTGTCAGGAAAAGGGGTGGTCGATAAATTAATACATTTAAGAAAAACTCATAACCTTGCCTCCATGTTTCTCATTTTTGCTGTAAAAGCAGACAGTAGAAGCCATGGACCAAGTCCAACACCCATTCGACAAATGGAAAAACTGAGGCTCGGGGGAGCAGGGACTTGCCCACGACCTCACAGGGAGAACGCAGGACCCGTCTGTGCAGAGCTCAGCAGAGCCCACAGGCGCTCCTGCCGCCAGGTTCAGGGCCCGCGTCCCCAAACCCAGAGGTGCCGGGGCGACCCAGAGGGGGAGGGCCGGGGCTGCTTCCTTACCCTCCTGGGAGCCTGGTGGGCAGCTGGCTGGGGCCGTAGGGCTGCGCAGGTAGGGAGCAGAGGGGGGCCCGCAGAGGCTCTGGAGCCAGCCTGCAGGCACATGATGGGCCCTGCAGGCCGCCCTGCCACCGAGCCCAGCCAGGCCAGCTCTGGCTCTTGAAATGTCTCACATCCTGTTCCGGTGGCTTTGTGGGGCGCGTGGGACACAGCTGAGCAGGCGGCTCGGAGCCCGTGAGCAGAGACCTGGTTCCACGTGGGACCTTCAGGTTCCTCTTTCTCCCTG